TAGTTGCTCTAAACTCTCGATGTTCCAAAACAACATCCTTATCAGAGGCTTCGTTCTTGAAAAAATTACATGCCCATATCTTCTAAGATACATGACTCACTCTCCTAAATTTGGATGAAACAATGTTAATTTGAATGAAACAAGTCTAACTATTTATGCACAAAAATTTAGTCCAAAATAATATTATATTATAATTATATTATTTATAGTAGAATTAAAAAATATAACGAAATAAAGGGAGCTCCAAAGGGGATGGCGCCCCCCTTTAACTCTTTAAGGGAGGCTCCAAAGGGGATGACGCCCCCCTTATAAATTATAGGGTGCCTCCAAAGGGGATGGCGCCCCCCTATAATTTATAAGGGTGGCTCCAACAACAATGGCACCCCCTTGTAATTTAAAAAAAAACGTCAAAGTTGGGTAGATTGGTATATATGGTGGAATGTTGGGTAAAATGGAATTATAGGGGTGGAATGTAGGTTATTTGGATGAAAAATTCTTTTATTTTCATCTTATCTAGAAGGATGTTTTCGGAATATTTTTTTTGGAGCTATTCAATATTTTAACGACGCTGACTCTACCTCCCTTATTCTTAGTTTTTTAGTTTAAAAAATCAAAAATTTCAAATCTTTAAATCTCTCGATTTTTTTTATCCAAATCAAGCGTTAAGACTCTAGGTTAGAGTTCTTTGGTGTCATCACACATTCGTACATTTGGAAGGTACTTCTCGAGAGTGCACTTTGGAAGCTTCCTTTAGAGCTATGAAAGAAATACTTTACTTTTTCTTCTTCTTGTTTTACATGTTTATTTGTGATACTTATTAATGAGGCACTTGGTATGTTTCTCATTTGTTCTTCATTTTGTATGTTTATATGTGACACTAATTATAATATGAATTAGTTAAAATAGTTTAAAAATAACTTTTCTATTTCTTAATCAACATTGCATTATTTGAAATTACATATAAATGATGGACGAACAAGAACAATTTAGACACGATAGTGCATCTCAAGATGTACCTGCGCAGAGAGAAATGATAAATGATAATCATTGTAGATTTAACGTACATAGTTTGAGGTTGGGAACACATTTGGCGTTGAGTTTCCAAAATGAGTTATAATAATCATTTGGTAGTTAGCATTTCTAATCTTAGGAGACATTGACATACACATCTCGCACCTAAAAGATATTTTGGGGCCAACAGACAGATCAATATTTTTGTAACATTCAGACCATGTTGCTCCTTGAATATGAAAAAAAGTACTTATATTAGGTTTGACCAAACTCAACTCAATATCTAATCCATATCCAACACTCTAGTTTGAATGAGGTCAAATAAGCATTTGTTCTATTAATGAGTTGGTTTGGACAAACTCACTAATTTTTGAGTTGTATTGAGTTGAGTTGTAGGTAGCCCAAATGACTTTTCTATTTTATTAGTATTAAATGACTTAATGATGATTCGTCATGTTTTTTTAATAAAAAATACTCAATATTTTTATCTTTTTAAAATAAATTTGATAACTTATTTTTACTATATTCTAACATCATAAAATAGTAAATGATATCATCAATAAATAAAAATTATCATAAAATACTAGCAAATTTTACTTTTTAGTCCTTTTATTTTAATTTTTTAAAAATTTTAATCTCAATAAATTTTTTTCTTTTGTAGTACCCTAAACATTGAAATGTGTCAATCTTGGTAGAATTTTTTTTAACACAGATGCAACATGAGAAACCACGGTTTCATGATGTCCTAATAATATATAGGCAGAAGGATGTTGCGAGAATCATATACACCTCCGTAGACAACAAACTATAGTAGTGTTTGTTTGTTGAGAGATGCCATTATGAGGCATCGTTCTTTCGTCTTTCCATTGGTGAGACGAGTCTCACTCTGAACCATGTTACTTTTATCAAAGGCCAACTACTAAATCACTATACGATTCAGAAGTTTGAAGCATTAAACTTAATGTTTCAATACTTCTTAATTGATTTAAATGAGGTTCAAACCAAGATTACTTAAACGCGAAGATGATATGCATGATTTAGATGGATACATAAGATATATATCAATCATTTGAATGACGTTATTATTCATCACAATAATGATGCATTCAAAAAGTAACATAAACTATGTACCATAAGAAAGAAAAAATTGTATTTGATTGACGCAACAATTTAAGAATGCAACATACCTTGATGTTGATGTTTATATCTGAAGTACTTAGATATATAAAGTTTTCACAAGTATAATTGAAGAGTTGCATGTCTAGTTTATTTATACGTCAAACTGGACTAAACATATAAATTCAAAACTAGTTAGTGGAATACATATGTCTTCTTCAAGTAATGCTCATGTAACTTAATATTTTTATGCGATTCATGTATAAACTTTATATTTTATAATAATTTATTGTTTAATCTATTTTTAGTCTTGGATGCTCAAACATTTTTTGGCTACTGTTTCATGGCGAATTCTCGATGAATATGATGAAGAGTTTTCATGTGCTTGTTAAATTTCACCAAATAGTGGGTATAAAACTACCAAGACACATGCATTCTTGACATGCCGCAAGGTTCTTATTTTTGATGTTTTTGTATAATTCGAATTACATCTATTACGAGAATTTTAGCGCATTTATAGAAAAAATAACTTATTTTGAATAATATTTGCTTTTGCCAACGTATTTTTGTGTCTTCTGACAAATAATTCGTCGACTTTCGCACGTTCAGATTATTTGTCGAAAGAGCGTTTACAGTGCAGTTACGAAGATCGAACAATTCTCAATTACGTTCGAGCGCTTTTGCGATTTTGAAATTAATTGTTAGAAAACTAGTTTTCGGACGCCAAAGCACATCCTTTTAGATTGTGTTAGGCGTTGGATATTCTTTTACTTTCGTAATAATAAATAGAAATGGAGATTCAATTTTTCTGAAATAATTGTGCATAAGTTGCTCGTAATTGATTTATTACGAACTATACATATAATCTATAAATAAGTTTCATGACCATCAACTCTAAAAGAACTACTCACTCATGGGAAAAGACAAAGTAGTAAAAGAGATTTCCACAATTAGAAACATAATTGATTCAATGAATTTGTAAACAATAATAATAATAACAAGATAAAATAAAGAGTACTTGAATATAAAAGACAAAGCTCCAAATCCAACTGCTTCAATGGAGACTTTTTACTATAAACTATGATAAAGAAAATATGCGATAAAAACTGGATGTCCTCAACTCACAACTACCTATGAGCATTATAACTAATTTTAAACATGGAACAAAACATATGCTCCAATGCCCTTTAAGAATAGAATAATGTCAAATTGGAAGGTGGAGAGATCCGAAATCAATAACAAATCAAACTGAAAAAGGAAATAAGTGTCCCAAAACATGTTTGCCTGCTACGGGCACCCATAGGAGGCCACTGTCACTGCGTTGTTTTTGAAAAGAAGAAGGGGGACTTTTGAAATTATGTGATAAAAAATTGGATATCTTTAACTCAAACTTGTGTGTTTGAGTAAGGAAGTCTTATACTTGTGTGTGTAAAAAAACAAGTCTCTTGCTTGTGTGCTTGAGCAAATTGTAATCTTGTGTGATTATAGTGGAAATATCTTGTACGTACAAGGGAAATGGACTACTCTCAATTTGTGAGAGAAACTAGGATAAATCTGTGTGTTATTCTTCTTTCTTGCATTTTACATATGGTGCATATCTCTAACCAACTCAAATTCTATAACCTTGTGTTTAGAATCCGACTTAAGAGTTTTAGAAAAAGAAAACACAATCCAATCCTTCCTTTTGTGTTTTTCTCACCTTCTTGTGTTCTATTCAAAAGAGTTTAAAACAAAAAATCAGACACAGAAACTGACCTAGTAAGAAATATGACCATCATAAGAGATTTAAAAATGAAGAACCAATGAATCTATAAAAAGTCAGAGAAGCAGAGTTTGATTAGTGAAATGACCACAACACAAGAATGAGAATAAAACAAGTAAACAATGGCAATAATAAGTACCAAATCAAGCTAAAAAAGACAAAATTTATTTTTCATCTGATGCTCAAAGAATGGATAATCCATATATACATCAAATTGGTGTCTAAAAGTGACATTAGTTGGAATCTATTTAACAGAAAATGAAACATGAATAAAACACCCTTCGATAATGATGAAAAAAATGAAATGTAAAATGATATCAACCGAAGAGAAAAAGACAGATGTAGACAACCCCATAATAAAAAATCATATGAAGATGTAATATGTACATTGAACCTTGGTGATAAATGAATGAGTTTAAGTCCAAAAATTCTAATTTAAAAAGTTTTAATTAATTAATTAGTTTAAAAATATATTAATTAATTTAACTTATTAAATATTAATTTATTTAAAAATATATTAATTAATAACTATTCTAGTCATCCATGTCATCTAATTAAAAAAAAAAAATTTTATTCTGCAATCAAAAATGGAGGGGTACCATAAAAGTTTAAAAACCATTAAAATTAAAAAATTAAAATCATAAGTTTTATAATTAAAAATCAATGGTTTAAACCGCTCAAAATAGAGACCAAAAATGTATTTTCTATATATAACTCTACCTAACTTTTTAAAATGAATATTTGTCTGAGATTAAAGATTAGAAAGTTGGGTTTTATAATAAAAAGATGAATAGTTAAAATTTAAAAATGCTCATCAAAAGTGCACCATAAGTAAATTTGAGGCAGGTGTAGTAGGTGCGTGCAGACACGCGTTACACTGAACTAACCTTCATTTTTACCAGAAGAACAAAGCAGACGTTGCAGTAGCGCTAGCCATAAGATCATCACATGAAATATTTTCCCTTTCCCTTCACTACAATTCACACTCTCTTCCAATATTCCATTATTTATTTCTTAACTTAACCAATTCAATTCGTTTAGCTTGATGATTTTTCGTTCTTCAAATCAACAACCTCTTTCGTCACTTTTCGTTCTCCATTTCTAACCCGAAATGTGGCACCGCTTGTCATCTTCAAACTTCAAATTCACAACTTCGGGTTTAGGGTTAGGGTTTCTTAGACGCTCGTTCTCAGCTGAATCGGGGAAGAGGTTCGCTGCGCTATGGGGTAACGGTGATTACGGCAGATTGGGTCTCGGTGATTTGAACTCTCAATGGACACCTGCTATTTGCACCTCCTTCCATAATCAAAACGTTAAAGCAATTGCTTGTGGAGGTGCTCATACCCTCTTCTTAACAGGTTCAAACTTCCTTCTTCCATTATCCAATTCATTATTCTTCCGTTTATCTTTTTATTTCATTTTTTGTTGAGATCAAATCATTCATTTCCCGCTTGATGATGTATATAGTATTTTTCGTTTTAAATTTGGGTTTTAGAGAGAATTTTGGGGTAACACCTATAGTAGAAAATACTAATTAAGATAGAACTCTGTGGTGAAAAGAGTAGATCACATGAGAAAGACCTATAAAAACTATAAGAGAACTTATTAAGATAGAACTCGATATTAATGATTTGGATAGAAACATGATCCTAAACAGAGCATTATGGTGAAAGCTGATCTATGTAGCCGACTCTACTCGGTGCGATAGGTTTGGTTGTTGGTTGTTGGTTCTCGTAGATTTAGATAGCTGAATCTTTGTCAAGTACTATTTATCAAGTGTAATAAGTTTTGTGTATTGTAATTTGTTGTAGTGTAATTTTGTGAGACTTAAATTGATTGATGATGAGTCTATAATGTGATAGTCTTTGACGTTGGTTACGAGTCTGATGACTGCTGAAGAGTCCCGTAATGTTCGAGTAGGGCTTACATTACAAATTGTCCTCCTTTCAGACAATGGATGTGTTTATGCTACTGGTCTCAACGATTTTGGACAGCTTGGTATATCGGAGAGTAAACAATACTCAGTTGTATGATTACTTTGCCTTTTATACCCATATTTCTGTCAAATAAACTGATGAAATTGCAATATCTTGTTCTTTAGCTCTAATGTTCACGAGTGCCTACTTGTCAGCATTTTCTTGCTTTAGATATTTTCTTCACATGTCCTTGTTTTTTCAGGTGCCACTTCAAGTTTTTGGCCACGAGAAGAAAGTTGTGCATATTTCTGCTGGCTATAATCATTCGAGTGCAATAACAGGTATGTTTTTACTTTTTATGCCTATTGTTGTCATACATTCCATTAAGAATAGAATTGACCCTCAATAACTAACTTATATTTGAAGTTGACCGACATATTCTCCTTCAGAATAAATATTTTAAAGCTGAAGTTCTTTCAGGATAAAGGGAAATAAAAAATTTGACAGTTAAGGAATCTTTTTTGAACACACTGCATTTAGTTAATCTTAATCTAGTAGTAGGTTTGCTAAGAAGCTATTGTTCAAAATCAAAACCGTTTATCATTTCAATGTAAGAAATCATCAATTTCTACTGTTTATTTGTTTTTTTTTATAAATAGCTTGCAGTTGGATTATTGATAACAAATTTTTAATGTCTGAGATTTTATTCATGATTGATTATAATATCTGATTTACAAGGACATTCAAGGAAATAAAATTTGTACAGAGGCTTGAGTTCAATTTGTTTTGAGCTAATACAGAATGTGACATTTGATTCATATTGTTTTGACATATATAAATTAATTACCAGAAGCTGCTTAGTGCTTTTATTTTTTATTTATTCCTTATAAAGCTGTTAGTATTATTTGATAGTACATTTTAAACTGTGAATTCATGTACATTCTTTACCTTCTTGTTTTTAAAGATCCCTTTCTTTCTCACAGTGGATGGAGAACTATACATGTGGGGAAAGAATACAAATGGGCAGCTTGGACTCGGAAAAAGTAAAAACTAGACCTTTGGCATTTAATAAGTTGAAAAGCTTTTATTCCTGAACCGATATATTATACTCCCTCTGGTCCTATTTATAAGAAAAAAAATTACTTTTTAGATTCATTGAATAAACAATGTATTTGTTCTAATGTTGTCCAGGTACATTAGTTATTCAATGTTTCTAGAAAGTAAATTTTTTTCTTATAAACAAGACTAGGGAGTATGATTTATAAAAGTGGATATTCTTAGTAATTAGAGCTGCTAAAGCTGGTAAAGGTTGGCTGGTGGAAGCTACTTTGTGTATAATGTAGTTTTGCTGACATGCAGGGGCTCCCAACATAGTTCCTTTGCCAACTAAAGTGGAATACTTGGATGGAATCAACATTAAAATGACAGCTCTGGGTTCTGAGCACTCAATGGCTATTAGTGGTATGCAATAAGCAATCACAAGTTCATTTCATATTAATTGCTGATATTAATTTATCTATTTTTTTCCCTTTTATAATATGTTTTTTTTTTAAAGATTGATTCTTTATATAGTTTTTCAGCTACAACTTATGTAGGGTTGGAGTGTTAAATAAGTTTGCATGTCAAAGATACTAAGAGATGAGTGTTTCTATCTTTGCTAGATGGAGGAGAGGCCTTTAGTTGGGGAATGGGAGTGTCTGGTAGACTTGGTCATGGCCATGAGTCAAGCTTACTAGGATTCTTCAAAAGTTACAGGTTTCCCCCATTTCTTTTACAATTTTTAGCGGCATTAATCTGTATTGAAGTTCTATTATTACACTTTACCCCATATGATTTGTTTTCAAAATACTTTGCTACCTTATGGTATAAAAATGATATGACCACAAGCGTACGGTTATATCAATGTAGTAACAAGGATCGTTCCACTGAGGACTATTTAGATTACCGATTTTCATGTATTCCGTGATTAGCTAAAGCTATGTTTTGGTTGACTTAGGATAACAATTATCTGTCTGACTAATCATGCATACCTATATTTCCACTCTTCTGTTGTGAGAACTCATCAGAATATATGATTGTATCATGAACCAATGAATCCTCTACTTTCGTTGGTTGATCCATTTGTTCAAGACCCTTTAAGAAAAACTATCTTTTAGAAACACAACTTTCTCAGTTGAACCACCACTATTTTCATGTTTTGGTTCCACCGTTTGACTTTTTAGTTTGGATATTGGTCCTCACCTTCCAGTGTATCAACTGATATACAATAATCTACTTTTTGAAATCTGAACTTTCCCAGTTGAACCACCACTATTTTCATATTTTCGATTTATGTGGATCTATAATAATGTACTTTTTGATATCATGCAGTGAATACACCCCAAGGCTTATAAAGGATCTTGAAGGAATCAAGGTTTGTTGTTAAATTTACTTCCTTGTTTCTTATATAAGGTTGATAATGATAAATTTTCTTCAAATTTGTTATTTACCACGTTTTTTGGGCTTCATTCTTGAAATATTTCTAGGTAAAAAATTTAGCTGCTGGGATGCTGACCTCGGCTTGTACTGATGGTAACTGAATTTAATCATATCTTTAATTCTTTCTTCTACTTTCTCGTTTCGTACCTTGGTTGTACTCTGCATTTTGAATTAAGCTTTGGTTTAGCTCTTCGTTCATGCAAATCTTGCAGAAAATGGTTCTGTGTTTATATTTGGAGAGAAAGGGGTTGACAAATTGGTACGTGCAATCAGTATTTTTTTTACCGCTTCTATGCTACTACTTGTAATGACAAGAATTTCCTTCAATCAACATATTCAGCTCTTGAAGGAGATGAGCAATGCAACAAAACCATCATTAATCAGGGAACTTCCATACGCTGAAGAAGTTGCTTGTGGTGGCTATCATACCTGTGTCTTGACAAGTAATCATCAGCTTCTGAACTTAAACATGTGTAGATTTGTGATAATTTGTTTAATGCTTCATTCTATTTAGTGTTTTTTGTATAGATTTTGGTGAGCTTTATACTTGGGGTTCAAATGAAAATGGCTGCCTTGGCATAGGGTATCCTTTTTATTCTTAGAACCTGTTACTCTATCATTTTCGTTTTCTATATTTCCATTCCCTTTTATCTGCTGCTATTAACTGTTTTGATTCTTTAAATCATTTTTATCTAGGTCCTCATATGCTATTCATCTACCTGAAAAGGTTCAAGGGCCATTCTTGGAGTCTTCTGTTGTTCAGGTTTCTTGTGGTTGGAAGCATACAGCAGCCATTTCTGGTAAGTTCTTGTCTTTGCATAAAATATAAAAAGAAAGAAGTACCTTATCGCTGAGTACAGGCATGCTTTTCTGTTCTCTTTTTTATCATAAAAAATTACAATACTGGTATTCAATATGTATCTATAGATTTGATGCTTTAGAGTTATTAAGTGAAGCCTAGGAATCCCTTTCAATGCCATCATGATAAAAGAAATGTTCATTTACGAGAATAATGAAGAACATAGCAGATAGCAGTATGAGAATTGGTAAATGTAACATGCATGTCATGTGTAGTAAAATAGTCAAGCATGTCAGGTGTAGTAAAATAGCAGTGGAAGTATGAATCTTTATCTTTCAAGAAAAGGCGGTGGCCTGATTTCAAAGGCTAACAGTAAGAGTGTCATTCATGACAAGGTATTAAAGAGTGAAATATAAAAAATAGTGCTTTCTCAGAAAAGGAAGAGATTGGCATTCCTCGGATCAACACGAGTAAATAACTTTCTAGGCATCAAACATGATTAACTATGTTACTGGAGAGTGCATATTTGCCAGGAAATATTAAACACTTAAAATCCCCATAATATTCAACCATGCTGGTGGAAGTCACATTAAAGACTTGAAATATTATGACGTATACCTATAGTCCTTTGTGAAACTGGGATTTCTGAAGCGCCTGTGCCCTGTATCCAGTTAACTTCCTATATCTTTGGATTAAGACCTTTTTTATTTCCAACCTCTTTTCTATAAAAAGACATCTATTTTTCAATTGTCTTATACATACAGCCAATGAGCGATTCTACTGACTGCCATTGAACATGTCAGAAGAGACGTGCGCTATATATTCAAGTTATACTGCTTTTTAGACTTGTCCATTAGGCAGCCATCTACTTAAATTTCTTTTAGGAACGAGGAAATCGGGACTTCAGCTTAGTTAATAAGTTTTTTGCCTCTTGGAAAATTTCATCCTTTTATTTGATTCCAGTATTTGTTGGTGGCGTACTTGGTGTTCATTTTAAAGATTAGAATGTGCTTTTCCCTGTGTGTAAACTGGCATAGCCTTCACATATTTCTGCACAAAGCTGCAGGCTTTGCATGGAGATATAAACTCACCTTTTTCGATTGTTCCATGTGGATGACCCCTTCTATTATTCCTTGATGTTTTTTTTCCTTAATATTAATTGCTTTAATTTATAACTTATTCTCACTTGTAAGACAATGTTTATACTTTATACTGTATTGATAGTTGTGAGATAAAAGGATTTTATTGCTGTAGTTTTTACTGAAACTTTTAATTGACTTTCAGGGGGAAGAGTCTTCACATGGGGTTGGGGAGGTTCTAATGGAACTTTCTCTGATGATGGACATTCTTCTGGTGGACAATTGGTATGCTTCTGCTTGTCATATAATTTATGACAGTGTATTTTTTAAGTGCTTATCAAAAGAAGGTTATCACAATGGTTGGGATATAATTTTCTATGACAAGAGAGCCAAAAAAATTATTTAGAGTAGCAACTAGCAAGGCATTTTAGAATTAATCACAATTTTCAAATAAATCACCCATCCATACACTTAAAGAACTTTCTTCATATTAATTTAAGTGTCTTATTTCCTTTGGAGAGTCTGACTAGTGTGGGCCAGGTAAATTACCTAAATGAATTTGATTAGTTTCTCGCCTTTGATTTTGCAAAATATGCTATTTCTTGCACTGCACTATGAATGAAGTTTATGATTTCAACTCAGGGTCATGGAAGTGATGTGGATTGTATAAATCCTTCAAGAGTTTGCTTTGCAGATGATGTGAAAGCATTGCAAGTTTCATGTGGTTTCAATCATACAGGTGCTATACTTGAGTATGCATAGGTTTGGCTACTCAGGGAATACATAGTTATCTGTAACTTATAAAAGGAAATCAGAAAAAAAATGTAATTTACACACCCCATGTATCATCTATAGATAACTTAAGTGAGGGTGACGCCTATATCCGTTGTTGTATTTTATTATCATTCTTTTCACAGGAAAACAAAACCACAAATATGTGCTAAATAAAAGCTCCTTGATGTACAAAACTTCTGTAAAGAAAAATGCTTCAAATAAGAAGTGTATGCGAATAATGCTATAAATAGAAGGTAGATTTAGTTTTTGTTATTTTATGGCTAAACTGAGTAATTGAATTCTCCTTAATATATGAATTGAAGTAAATAATGCTTATGTCATTTGATATGTTCTTCATGAAAAGTTAGTCGGATGCTTGAGTATTCCTAGTTGGTGATGCAATCATGTAAGCCTATATCATCTAAGTTGTCACCCCACAGTTTTTGATTCTTTTGTAGCATCATAGTTGAAAAAGATTCCTATTCTTTGTAGATTTAGTGTGTGTGTGTGTGGACATTCTCATTTTGCAATATGCCAATGAATGCACTGTTTCCATCAAGCATGAATCATACGTATGGAAATGAGAATCCTAGCGACGGGGTAGGGCAAGGTTCATTTTTAAGTTTGGATAGTTACTAGCAAGATTTAGGGAAGGATTCAATTTTATGACAGCAGTCAGCTTCTACTACTACTACTACACTTATTTTTTAAAAAGAAAATTGCATGTTGGACATTATTGCAGTGGTCCTGTAATTCACCTTTGTTTAGACTAGTTGATGTCGTTGTGCAAGTATGCAATAAATTAGTCAAAATTTTAAAATTAAAGCTGAGGATGTGGTTTTTTTTTGTTATCCTCTGATATGCACTTATCTTCCTCATAACTGGAAGGTAATAAATGTCTGCGCTGATAAGTCATAACAAATGACTTTCCTGTTAAGTTTTTGGCTCTAGAATTAAGACTTTTCACCAACTTCATTCCGTCTCACTATACAACCGTTACAAAAGCAAGTTACTATATATACTGTTTTTAAATTAAAAGGTTTTATTATTATTTTTAAAGAGTTAAATTATATTTGTGGCCTCCTAAATATTTATCTCCGATCTATAATAAGTGATCCATTTGACCATTTTACACGTATTAAGAAAAATGAATAAATGAAACAGAGAGAATGATATTTTTAATAAAGTGTTTTTATCATACATTGAGAATGGTGAAAATAATATTAATTAGAGATAAAATTAAAAAAGATGTATTGAAAATTAAAATGGATCATTCATTTTGTGACACTTTTATTTCAAATGGATCACTCATTGTGGTACATAGGGATAATATTTTATTTTTAATTTCTCAATTTTAAAAAAATGATTCTTCTAAAATTTTGCATCTGCACTTTTAATCTCATACAATTTAGCGGCGATTTTTTAAATTTAGCAACAAAATTAGTGACGATGTACTACTTAGACCAACTCCAATAGGAGTTCTTAGAGTGGGTTTGCCAACATGGCACTCATATTTGTTGTTTTCAAGATGGAAAAGTTCTTAAATATGCAACAGTTCTTCAATGGTTCTTATATTAAAATATTAATTTTATAATATAAAAACTATAATTTGATATAAAATTTTATTTATTATTTTAATTATTATTTTAATTAAAATTTAAATATTTAAATTATTATTTTAAATAAAATAAATTTAATATAAATAATATTTTTTAAGTAAAGTGGTGGGACCCAATATGAATTCTTTAGAGTTGCACTATTGAAATGAAAATTGAAAGAGTTGCTTTAAAAGAGTGGGTCCCACAAAAACCTAAAAATGAGTTGCACAATCGGAGATGCTCTTAGTGACTTAATCACCGACAATTTTATTGATAATTTTAGAAGAGAGACCAAAAATGTAAAAAAATTAAAAAAAAATTATTATTTAAAAAGATTAAAAGTAAAATATAAAATATTTAATAGAATCACAAATATATTTAACCTTTTTTAAATGATTATATTGTTGTCTTATACATGAATTTATTTATAAAAGAATATTCTGAAATGATTGATCACAGTTAATATAAATTTTTTTTGACTTCAATGTAATTTCAGTCTCTTATATTAATTTTTATAATTTTTTATTCTCTTTTAAAAAACTAATTTTTTAATCTTATGTATCATATTTTTTGTTTTGATAAATAGCATGTGGCGCCACATATTAGAATTGGATGACAAATTATTATTAAATTTTTTGAAATTTTATTTATTTACTTTAATTTATATTACATAATTTTGAATTATTTTTTGAAATTCTGACATGTAAATATCGGATGTCGAGATAGATGTCACAACACTGAGATTAAGACAAATTGATCACACAAATAAAGATGCAGAAATTTAAATGACTGAAAAATAAAATCAACACCAGAATTGTTAACCCAGTTCGGTGCAACTTGTAACACCCCATTTCTAACCCAACAGATAAACAACAACATACAATCAGAGTGCACAAAATTTGGACGCGTGACGATCGTAAGGGTCCCGTGACGGTCGTCACACTACCAAAACCCTGGGAGTCACATTTTCAACTTACAGAAACATACATTTCACAACTTAATTAGACATCATGCATTTAGTAATGATACATAGCAGAGAAGCTTGGATGAACATACAACAGCTTGCTTAACATCTCGATTACAAGACATCTTATTAATTTGCAGCGGAATATAAAACATTTCCAATATTTATAATGATTAAAGCAAGACCACGAAATTTGCAGCAACTCCATTAAAATTCAGCAAGTAAAAGTCTTACATAGATTCAACGAAAACAACTAGTTCAACCATAGAAATCAGCACTACCGATTCACCGGCTTAGTGCGTACAACTAACATTTAGTACTCGACAGTAACAACCAATTAAATTCAGAATATTCAGAAAATTCAACAACAAGAAAGTCAAATAAAATAGTAATATTCATCGTTCATTCCCCAAGAGTGCTACATATCAGAGCAACCAACGACACCTTAATGGAAAGCTACACTCTATTCCTGATTACCTGCAAATTACCACCAACGGAGGTAATATACAACGTAAAGGGGTGAGATATCAACAACATAACATAAGGCATGATAAAAGTCATGTCAGAATATTAACACAACATTATAATTCCAGCAGTTCGCAAAATATTATCAATAATTAAACCGCAACAATTCGGTATTAATATCCACAACCATTATCATTAAAATTCAGCAACTCATCAATTACTCGCAAATGCATAGCGACACAAATCAACTATGCACTTCAACAAATGCGACTCAACTATGCAACTCAACTGTGCATATGCATGTGGTACCATTTTGGAGCCAACACTCCACAACCAATTTATTTGCCATTAAGGCCAACCGTCGCCAATCCAGGCCAAATAACGCAAATACAGGCAACCCCAAATATTTGCCACTAAGGGCCAACCGTCGCCAATCGAGGCCAAATGATATGCTATGAGACGCAACTATTATGGACTACAACACAACAACAGCAACCGTGCAACAAGGCATCAAGCCTACAACCAATTATCCATAACAGAAACATCATTATTTCGCATACATCATGTACTCACCATTTCAACATAATCAAATGAGAATACTATAACAACATTTTCTCAGCAGATGACATAACAAATTCATATGCATCAGGTATTCATCATTTCAACATATTCATGCAAGGGAACAATAACAACATCATTATCAACAAATACGAATTCAAGACATTTTCGCAGAACGACATCACAACTTCTACATACTTATTTATCTACGGTTTACGGTAAAACTCCATTAATTATGGAACGACAATTCACAAGATATTACACAGACCAATGACCGACCATACTATTTTGACACAGACAACCCTTTATCGTTAACATTTACCAACCTACGGAACCAAACCCATGATTCCATACCCTTCATGAATTCCATCACACCCTTGGTTATAGAATTGAACCCCACCCTTACATTGGAATTGAGGTCAATCTTAACTTCTGGTTCTGGTTTATCTCCGCGGTGACTCCTCTGTCACAGCCTTGCAAATTCTCCGATGGATAATCTACTTCTGTTATCAACTTCTCTCAGCCACTCTCTTTCTTCCTTTACGGTTTTTCTTTTGCAAAATTCGCCAACTGAATTGAGTGTAAGGGAATACGAGAATACGTTACTAAACTTCTAACATTTTCGTGGCCACGTTCTAATTCTGTCAAATGGGATTTTATTACTATGACGATCGTAACAAGCGTCACGACCGTGAAGGCCATGACAGTCGTAAGGGGTTCATGACGTTCGTAACGATCGTGACGACCGTCACATGCCTGTGACGACCGTCACATCAGCAAAATCTCATTTTTCCTAAACATAACATCTCTTTAGCTTTCCAACGCTTCGAACGGGGACTAAAACCGACTTACGGATCAAGAGATATGAATTTTCAAAGTTTTCCCTAAAACTGCTACGGGATTTTGCACTTTTACCCGAAAATTCGACCGATTCAATTCCTTTCTTCGAGACAAACACATATTCAAATACGACTACGACACAACGAGACACGGAAATGTCATAATTAAATTTAATCGAAATAAAACGGGGGTTACACAACTCACCTACATCTGGGGGTTACCAAGTTAGGAAGAAAATTCACTATGATAGTATTAGTTCAAAGCTAAACTTCTCCCTTAACAACTTTTTGCCTAATCCCCACCTTGTGCAACTTCTACCTAGACACCCTCTAGATATGAGATCCCCATCTCACTTCCCAATCAGTGACAATCCCGGTGACAATCAACAATTTCACAAACAACAGAAGTAACACACTTCCAAGATAATACTTGATCTTGCTTAAAAACTTCAATCAAGAAGAATACACTCTTGCTTAAAAGCTTTAGACTGGACAATGAACAATGAACAATCATTCAACCTCAATGCATCAAAAGATACATGAGTGACATACAAATAACAAACA